CTAGCAAGGAGATCGGGCTGAAACTATAGCTACAAGCTATCCAAGGATGGTACTATAGAATGTCACCTCAAGGTAGGCCTAGTGGCGTCATCTCTTGGTTAGGCCGGAAACTTATCAATCCACCCTCGTATTAAAGATTTTTTGATAGGACATAAATTGATTAAGTTTTATTGCTTTTTATAATAAATCATATTTCTACGTAAAATAGAAGATATCTTTTTAAAATTTTATCTATGAGTTTATAAAACAATGCAGAGTAAATAATTATGTGAAACAACATCGCGATTAGATCCGGAACTACGCGGAGAATCGGAAGATAGTGATGATGAGTGTAAACTACTGTATATATTTAAATACCGATAATTTTTTATATACACTTTTCGTTATATTATATGCGCAAACATAGTTTTTGGAAAAAAGTTAAATATTTGAATGCGACAACGGGATAACTTAAAAGAATGAACGAGGTGATTTCTTCAAGACTTGAACTGGATCATGAAGGGAAGGAATGGTGTGATTTCCCCCCAAACTTAGGTTAGGATGATTTTCCCCAATATTCATTATAAACGAAGGAATGAAGCGATTTGTCTCAGGCTTAGACACGATCATAAAGGGAATAATAGGGTGATTTCTCCCAAGTTTCCGTTTAATCATAAAAGAACAATGGGGTTGTTTTCCCCAGACTTACAAGATGGATTCGATCAGAATAGCAAGAATGGTATGATTTCCTTCAGGCTTAAACTTCACTATAAATGGAGGGAAGGGGAAAAAAAGCAATTGAGTTATTTCCCACAGGAATAGGCTCGTTCATTAAGAATGAAGTAGGGTGATTTTCCCTATATTAAGGCCTACTTATAATAGAGGAATGGACTCTTTCCCCGGCTTATTTTTGCAGGAGATTCAGTAGAATTTGGTTAGCTTTTATATTGTAGTCTGTAAAGTCATAATTTGCAATTATTACATATAATCTCTATTAAAATAGAAAATTAAGCTAACCTTACACCATACGTTACATAAAAAAATTTAATGAATTAGCAATATTAATTTGAAATAATTTTTTCGATTTTTTGTTTACCCACTACAAACTATCTCAAATTAATTAGGGAAAAATTGTGACAACACCAACAATTTTTGCCTCACTAATTTGAGGTAGTTTGTAGTGGGTAAATAAAAAATCGAAAAAATTATTTCAAATTAATATTGCATATTAATCCACTATTAAGTAACAATGTCATAGGATTTCATATATCTGATGAATTAGTTTCAAATGTAATAAACGCATTATTTTATGAATGTTTAAAGCTTTATCCTTTTGTGCGTTTCTATTTCTAATCGTAAATAATAAAACGATATAAAATATTTTCAAATTGGTACAAAAATAAAAAGTATAAAGCAAAATAAAGAACAGTTATACAGAGTGTTTTTTGTGAGAATCTAGTGATTAAAAATGCTTTCCTTGAAGTACTTGTCGATCAATTAGCAATTAAAAATTCAAATAATTAACTAATCAAAACGAGCATTAATTTCTGTAAAATATTTGCCATTTCATTTTTTTTAATCGTGAGTAAACACTCAAATAAGTTATAAACCCGCAATTAAAACTGGAAAGTAAATAAAAAATTTAATTTTTATAAAAAAAATGTTTATTTAAGGTCTAATATTTTACACAATATAATTATAAATTCCAAAACAATAACATAGTTAACATGCAGTCGTTTGTTTTTTGTACGTATCATTTTCTGGTTTTTCTGTTTCATTGGCTGAAATGGCAAAACTATTTTTCTTTTCTGATAATTCATGAATTTCCCTCTCAGTACTGTGAGTAATTCCGTAGCCAAAATATATAACAAATCCTTAAAAATTATAATAAAATAAATAATTCAACTTGTCAATAAACCCAAAAATTCCAATCCAAATCTCTTACCTATTAGTAACCATACAGCAAATCTGATCCAGGTTTGGAGATCTAGTTGCACCATCAAATACAAATTTATAAATACACTTAAACATGGGATGTATGGCACCCATGGGACCTATAATTGAGAATAGCATTTGCAAACATTCGAAAACGGAAAAAAGGAAAAAGGATTTTACCTTGAATGCCAAATTGGCGTCTTCTGTGGGCTGTCTTGCAATAACAATTACACATACAATAAGGGCAATAAACAAAAGAACCAGGGGTACAATATATTGTGGTTTCATAAATTCTGAATCTGTCATTCCATAAAATAAAATCAAGGAAATTACGACGCTCAATACACCTATTAAAAAAATAAACCTAAGTAATTACTCAACTTACTGGGTGGTTTATTAATATTAAAGAAAAACAAATGATGCTACTCTATCTTTTCATCCGGGACTGAAGACAATTACTCATATAAAATAAAATGTGATTGGTTCATTAAAAATTTTTTCAAAGGTCCAAAAAAGTTCTGACATTATTTCTCAAAATATTAAAAAATCGTGTCAGGCGTTTTGATCCCCCGACAATATGTCCCCGGACAAAATATCTCTGACAAAATATCCCTGGACAAAATATCACCGTGACAAAATATCTCCAAACTAAATATCACCGAACAAAAGCCCCGATAATAAATTATCGAACCGATACTCCAATAAATAATATAAAATTCATATACTTCATTTCATATATTTATTTGTANCTTGGGTTGGATTGTATTATGTTTGATCATGTGAGGTGTGGTTGGTAAGGAAGGGAACGTACGGCAAGGTAGCATGGCGCAAGTTTGACAGGGTTAGGTTAGGTTAGGTTGAATAAAATATTGGAAAAAAAATCTTAAAGCAATTTTTAGGGTGGGGGGGATATTTTGTCTAGGGATATTTAGTCTGGAGATATATTGTCACGGGGACATTTTGTCACAGGGATATTTTGTCGGGGATATTTTGTCCGGTGATATTATGTCGGGGGATGAAAAATCATGGAACCTTAAAAAATAACTTACTAAAAGCCACTATGCTCCATTTGATTATGTTGGCCGAAAATTCGTTCGGATATTTATTGTTGTTCAAATTAAACACTTGTTTAAAAACATCGAATAACACGACATCTTGTTTTTTCATTTCCAAGTCCTTTTTCAGATGAGAATAATCGGTTATTTGTTCATATCTGAAAGAAATTTAAATGTTTGTTCATCTACATAATTTAAAATACAATTGTTTGATTTTCATCTACCTTAAGACTAAAACGCACACCGACACAATGGTGTAAGCCAAAAGGGTACCAATTGACATCATATCCACAAGTTGATCGAGATTGAATATCATAGACATTAGTCCTTAAAAGTTACACATAAAAGAATTATTTACAGAGATATTATTTAAATAACGTAAGTATACCTGCAAATATTCCAGAAATAATAGTTGCTAAAAGTGGCGTTTGTGTTTTAGGATGAACTTTTGATAAAGAAAAGAACAGAAGACCATCAGAAGCCATTGCATATAGAACTCGAGGAAGTGGAAACATAGCACCCAGAAGACTGGTACAAAGGGCAAATACAGCCCCCGTAGTTACAATCCATTTTATAGCTGTCCACCCGAGTTGTTCGAACACGTAAGGAAATGGGGCATCAGCATCCTAAAAGTCCTCGAAAAAAATAGTACAACAGAAATAAGAAGGTCCCAACTTGGCCGAACTAAACAAATTTTTAACATAATTTTATAATGAGCAACTTTCTCCAATGTTGGTTATTTGTATGAAAATCTCTTCTTCTTTAAATACATAGACAGAAGGGGAGGGGGGTATTTAAAAAAAATAAGAGCTAAAGTTCAATTCCTATATTATTATTTTTGTAAATATTTATTATTTTTTATTGGGATTTGTCAAATGGGAGGAGCTTAAAAAACATGGCGCTGATTTACGACGAGGGAAAATTTTTCGTAGTGGGATGCAGTTGTGGATTTTTAAAATGGTATAAAGTGAAAAGTATCGATAAATTATGTGTTTGGGCCGACAAATAAAAATGAAAAATAAATTTTTAGTGTCGGTCTTATCATAAAATTTGAAAAATAAAACCTTCATGTGTTCTGAATTTAAGCATCTACTGTTTATCAACATCAAATTTAAAAATGATTCACATGAGATAAGTGGTGAGAAAATTTTAAGAACACGTTTTTATTCCAGCGTCTACTTATTTTTTCATTCACACCTTTTGCTTTCATATAAGCTTTTAATTTGCTTTCCTTCTATAATTGTCCAAATATAGTTCTTTAATATAATACACATTTACGAAATAGCTAGTTTTCTTGGGAAGTAATCGAAGCATAGTCCAAGATCTTTGCTGGAGGTGCAGTTGAAATCTTTTGCCAACTTTGTATACGATTTTACACGAGGAAAAAAACATTACGGGTACCGTTATCAAAAAGAATGATTAAATTAAAAAGCGTTATCTACTGATTTGCATCCTTATGCACCACTCCCACACTTTTGTCCCTCGTTCAAGTTACAAGCTTTAACACCTAGTGGTGTATGCCCTATTTGACAGATTCCAATAGCCCTGTCCAAATGTTCGAAGTCATTTTTAAGAATTATTGTTCTTCGACGATTTCTGACCGTTAAACATCTGAAGCCACTCATCATGCGCATTCTACAGCAAAATATTAATGAACAATAATTCTTCCAAGTGACGGAATAAAAGCCGGAACAGAAACACCTCAATGTTAAGCAAGTGCCTTACTGTCTACAATTTTATTTGTAATATTAACTAATAATAAAAAACAACGAACTTCACTTTGTATACGTACTTGATCATAGTATGGCCACATGAGCGTTAGAACAACCGAAATGCCGAAGTATGCAAAGAAAATTATCGTTAATGAAATAACAATGGCTATTGGTATATTCCTTTGGGGATTTTTTGCTTCCTCTCCCGTTGTTGCAATGGCATCAAAACCGACAAAACCAAAGAAACATCTAGCTGCACCCGCCATTATTCCAGCTACTCCAAACGGAAGGAATCCTCCTTCCCCAGCAGCTGACGATAGATCTTCAGGAATCTCATCCTTTGATATTCGCCAATTTTTTACATCGGCTGTGAGAGAAAAGAAATTTAAAATATACATATTATTATTTCAAACAGTATCTTTCTTTCTTATCGTGGTTTTAGAATAATCCTCTTTCGGTACCTAGTATCTAACAGTAAGTTAGAGTTGCCTTCCCAGCATTTCACTATTAAGACCAGGAAGTCATTTGCAAAAACAATGGACGATCAACCCGTGAAAACCTACTAGCCAATTTATTATTTCACTGTTGAAGTTAGTTGTATATTAAAACAACGTTTATTATAGACAGTTCAATCACATTATTTATTGGTGTCGAATTCATGCCAGTTTTTGTATATTTCGATAAATTTTACAATATTTCCGAATGACTGGACGATTTAGAAAGAAGTGGCATACTCTGAGTAAAATGAAATGAATTTATTAAAACATTGGATATTGTCCATTTATATACAACATTTTAGAACAAAAAAGACTAACAATTATATGATTTTGGTCACGATTATTTGACGATAAAATTCAATCTTACATACAAGCTCAGTCAAATCTAAATTTTATTGATATCTATATAGTTTATACTTATGTAACATAATTGTATTGACCATGTAATTTATGTTTGAGTTCTAGTGTCATAAATTAATGTTTTCTCAAACTTTTTCATCCGCTACTCCTTCTTTAAAAATTTTAAAGAACAGGTATGTAAAGAAAAGGGAGGTGGGGAAATTGAGAAAAAGTAAATTTCTTTTGTTTAATTACATTGAAGCACTAGTAATTTTGATTAATAACAGATTCATTTTCAGTATCAATAGAAATTAATAGTTTATTATTGTGTTATATGGTTCAAAAAACGTATATAAGTATATATTTTGATTAATCTGTAATTTATTTTTCTGCTACCTCTTAAATATTTCCGCGACCCCTCTCTCTTTATATGGGTCACTTTGAGAAATATGACGGTAATACTGTAATGCCAGGGAGAACTTTTTCAGGAATTCTAAATTGTATTCAACTTTTAACAAAAACATTACTGAATTCTGGCAAACTGTGAATTTTTTAATTCAAAGCGAGAAAACATATTGCACCTTTATAGCACCTTCTTTATCTAATACAGTGCTTATATATGTGTAGCTTATTGTAATGTCTAATTTGCAAGTATTATTTACAGTAGGTACACTGCAATTTATATTTATACTAAATAAATAATCTGCTTAATCTGTTGTGTTAGAGGTTAAGCTTCCAAATGCATCGTCTAATTCTTTTTCTAAGCAAGTGAATTCCTCTTTATTCGTTATGTCCTTAATGGATATTACGAATGAGGAAAACATAAAATCCTTTCTCCAACTATTTGAATTGAATTTAATTGAAATTTTTAACAATTAGTATCGAAGCATTCAGGAGAGACAGTGTAATTCACAACTACAATGTAGTGTAAAATTAAAACGGTAATGTGATTACCAATCAACCACAAGAATATCAAGAACGAGGCAAATAATACAACTTCGTATTAATGAATTTTTCTTGTTCAAGGTAACATATTAGGTATTTCCCTGTTGAAAATGTACAGTGAGTGGCAAAATTTTCATTAGTTGTTGCAATTAAGATTTTAGAACTTTTTTTGATAGAAAGACTAGTTTAAATATTACCTGAAGGATATTAACACCCTTCAAAAACGAAAATGTTTTAGATACTATACTAATATCTAATTGTAGTACTTTCAAATTTGTCTTTGGTTGAATTGAATAATAATTCCAGTTTTTCACCCCTTTTAGAATTAAATTTATTTTCAATATCCGACATATTGGATACAACAAGCAGTAATTTAATCAACATTTACTTATATATTCAGTAATTATGAATTATCCATTTTCATTCATTTTAAAATGGTCAACAGGACGATAATAATTTTGAATTCATCTTTAATTAAGACTTTGAAATTAGTTTACTGTTAGGATAAATTTTTGATTAAATGTTTACATTAAAACAGTCACGATCATAGTCTGAATTAGTTACACAAAATATATAAAAACTAAAAATTGATAAAAGTTAAGTTAGATACGAGGGCTCTTTGATAACTCAGTAATTTCATTAGAGCTGTAGAGATGAAAGTTTCATCAAAAATTTAATTTCGATTTGAGTTTTGAGCTAAAATATATTTATCAAATTTGATTGACGGTGGTATTTAGAAAAAGTATCAAAAGTAAGTGAAAAAAATTAAATTTATATTTGAAAGTTTAGTTATCCTGAAGGCTCCCGATTTTTTAACGAATATATCCCATAATTTACTATTTATTATGTGTATTGGAAGTGCAGACGTGCACTTCATAGCCTTCTAACACAGATAAGTGACTATAAATGTGGCACTAGAAAAATGCGGAAAATGTTTAAGGTACAATTAAATTTTAAATGTTCGCAGTCATTAAAATGGCATTCATACTTTCAACACACGAAGGTATAGTTAAATACAACAACTGGCAATAACAAAAATGTAAATAAACGATTATCTTAAAGCTAAAAAATTTATTACCGATTTTGCATTTGTTTATTCATTCATTCAAAATAAAAGACAAAAACGTATAGTTTAGTTAACGGTTTTGTTTAAAGAATTTAAGCCAACAACTAAATACCGAGGTAAATATCATTTTCTGATATCCAACGAAAAGATCTGTTGAACTGTAATTAGTTATACACTTTGCCTTGTAAAACTCAACTTTCAAATGACTTTGAACTAAATTTACATCGTAAACAAAGAATAGGTGCTATGATACTATACATAAGCCATATTTGTTCATAAACGTTTTGCCAGAAATTATTCTTTTTATGTAAGACAACCAAAAATTGCAGACATGTATTTCTCTTATCGTTAGTTTATATTTAAAACTGGTAGAATTGGAAAAAGTTGGTAATTCCCTTTTTTATAAACAAGGTCGTTTTTTTTTTTTCAACTATTGTAATTCATAAATACGTAGATTGCAATAAAAAGTTGATAGACCACATCGAATTATAACTGAAAATTATTAGCATTGTATTGTTTTCTATTTTCAACGAACAGGAGAAACGAAGTTAAACTTTTTATTATTGTAATGATCTATTATCCCCCTTCAACTTGATATTTATTACAACAGATTGCCATAAACTTTCACCAAGTAGAAGTGAATTATTGAAAATGTTTAATAGTCTAAACAGCGCAAATTCTTTGTGATAGTTTGTAAAAGTACTTGCAAAAATAAATAGCGAATAAATTAGAAAGATTTTAACAAATAAAAATACAAACTTAATGACACTTGTTTAAATACAAACAGTAACTAGCATATAGCTGCTTTTTCTTATTAAATAATAATCAGTAAGATTCTTCGACTAAAATAGAATCAGCATTTTATTAGCAAAAATTACATGATTAATTTTTATAATGTTAAAAAAACTCCATTTCAAAAATAAAAAACTTGTTCATATAATTATGACACTAAACAAACAGGTAAAAAATTAAAATTAAAGTGTCAGTATGTCCAGTTTATAATATTTACATTATAAAAGGCCTAATAATTTAGTTAGATATTTCGACAACACAACAAGCTAATTGTAAAATTAAACAAGAACATATTTACATAATAGACTGTGATTAACAACACATCAGATAATTACACTGAAGGCATAGAATAAGGGTTCATCTATTAGAAATTACTTTTATATACTTGTAGATCAAGAAAAAGGGACTGTTTTTTTTCTTTCCACAGAAAAGCTGTAGAGCTTTAAAACATACCTACATTTGTATGTCATAATTAATTTACAAATTGATGAAATATGACTGTTAGTCACAAACTGAATTCCGCGAACACAATTAGTTTCTACTAATTAATACTAACTTATTGTTTGTTATAGTGATCATCAATTAATTTAATATAAAAAAATTATTGAATTTTTTTAGAAATAAAACTGTTTCTATTATACCTTTAGGGAACTGTACGTTGTATGCTTTGAAAAAAACGCAAATTTTATGCTATATGAAATATTTTGAAATTCAATAATGGTCAGAACATTGGTGCTTAAAGCCAAAGGTCCCGGGTTCGATTCCCGACGAGGGTGTGACAACAGCAACAACTGTTTCTTAACTTGGGGTAATTTATAGTGGATAAAAATTGAAAGTAAATTTTCACATTAATATTTAAAGACAGTATCAAGACAACTCAAAAATTGTAGACGTCAGTATTTTAAAGAAGATTGTTATACATATTGTTAGATTATTATTAACAGAGATTGTTTAATCTAAACAAGCAAAGAATACATCAAAGATAAGTAAAATAATCTGTTCATTGCAACAAATATTTAAAAACAGGAGACGGATGATAATCCAATTATATTTCACGGTATAAAACAACAATTAACTAATTAAAAATGCTTACTTACCGTTAATAGAGCCTGCTACAATTACTATTGCTATGACAACCAAGTTTAATACTGTAAAAATGTTGTTAAGGAATGACGATTCTTTAACACCAAATGCTAGAAGAACTGAAATTAAAAAAAAAAACATATTGATCTCAGTTTTTCTTTTTCAGTATAAACAGTAAAGCAATAAAATGTAGTAAATAATAGTAATACCATTATCTATACAATACGCATACATTACAATTAAGTAAATAAATAATAGTAAAAGGTTGTTCAACAATGTAAAATAATTATAAGGTGGATATTATTAATAGTAGAATTCGTCACATTTCGTATTCCTTAATATTTGTATGTCGTTTATCACAAAAGTGAAGATACTTGTTCAAGGTNTAGTAAACGTCTTTTATTTAATAATATCTTGCCTGTATATGTTTTTTTATAAGTACCTATTAAGTAATCATTATGTCCATCGTTAATAATGTTAATCAAAGCATTTTTAATTTAGATGCATGTATTCTGAGGTCATTTTATCCACCTTATGAGAAAAAAATAATAAAATATTTTGCGTTGTTACATTTAGTCTAAACAACTGATGCTAAATTTAAGGTGCTTCATACTTGTCGCATGAAAATACAATAGACGGCCTTTATTGCATCTGGTCATCTGGTATAACGATTTAGCGAACATTGAGACGAAATTTTAAAATCTTTTAGACAGAAATAATACTTTTTATGCATCATACCTATCGTGCGAGACCAATCAGTCTTAGGACTGACGACCTTATGATGATGATGACCTATCGCTTAAAACAACATAGAATATTACAATGAAAATACGGTAAATGTCAATTTTTGGTCAAGTTATGTTTTATAATGACAGACTATTCATCCTTTATAAGAAAACGTCGGAGAAGTATGTGTCGTCGGGGAATTACCGAGAAAATAAATAATCTAAGCATTCTGTAGAACCAAAAGTTAACGTAATCATCAAGCTCCAACCGCGCACTATAAAGAATTCACTTTCAGTAATTCATACAATTTAATGACTTCCTACATTAAATTAAAATTTAAAAGAAGCTACAACAAACTTTAACTTGCTACATTTGAAAAATAATATTGAATGTTTCTCTATAGAAAAATATAAATACAAAAGCCAAATTAAACTAATAAATTTCTTGTTGAAATGTACCTAATTAAACTTAAATTATTTGTAATTAAATAAAATTCAGGGGGGACCTCATGCCTAAATATGTACGTTATATCAAAAGTTCGCTAAAAGAGAATTAGACACATGTCTTACACTTAACAAGCGTATATGTTATAAGTTAGTTATACTGTATAGGTACCGTTATTGCTGCTTCAGCTTTGGGGTATCATTTACCTGTAAATGTATTCTATTATCAATAAAATGTACTATTTTTTTTGAGTATTACATTATAATGTTTGGATATAGCGAACTGCAGATGTAACGACTAAATGCCTGAGCCTTTAACGTTGTTTTAAAGTATATTGTTTTTTCCAGGGTGGCGGTCAAATAATTAAACAACTTTATGTTTTTTGTTACATTTCGGTTTATTCAACCACCTTCAGACTTTTAAAGTGTTACTGCTTGTACACAGATTTTAAATTAATTTTAAACATTTTTTCATGTTGAACTACTGTATACGAGAAACTTCTTTTCAACGATGCATCATGTATTTTTGACAAGCGAATTTTATATAGAGCGCGTGATAGAAGCATTTCTTATATATTATCAAGTATAACTTGGTACCCTTTAATTTAAAACTTGTAAAATACTGCTACTATATTGCGTTTATATATTTTATCAATTTGCTTTTTTGAATTGTATAGTATTGTAACCATGACGGTTTTTATTTTTCAAAAAGACGGATTTTAAATGACTAAAGAGATCTCTCCATTTCTTCCGGTGATAAAATTGTGTGATATGTATAATAAATGATTGATTCGTTTAATTTCGAAAACAACTATAAAATTTTCTTTAAATTCAGCGTAGCGTCACAAAAAAGTCCTTCCACTAAATGTAATTATTTCCTGTTGTTTAAAAACGCTATTATTTAACATTACAAACGATACAAAACATTAAAAGTACATATTGTCTGCTACTGGTCGTAAATAATACATATAACTCTAATTTTTTGTATTTTTTTAATCAGCATTCATCAGTTCTCAGTAACAACAAATCAAACAGAAAATCTGAGGCAGCATGTAATTTATGATATGCATAGATCTTAGATCGTAAACTTTTTTTCGCAATTCTTGATCTACGCTAATATTTCGAGAAGTCAACATTTTTCATATTCAATAGAAACAAATTATGTATTCCATACTTGTTGATACATATAATTTAGAGTAACAATAATATAATTAAAGCATGATGAAATGCAGGTTTAATGGTGTTGCATACGTATATGATTCGCATGATTCGGGTTTGTATGTCATGGACAAGTTGAACATGACTGTACTACAATATGCGATTAGTATAAGTAGTGAAACTAAAAGTATTCAAACGATTTTATATAACACCTGCCACCGAAAGAAGTATTTGAATTCTTTAATAAAATGCAGATTAATAATGTTTCTATTTCATTAAAGCTATTTCATACAGGAATATTCTGCGATTGCATATGCAGATATAAAGTGAAATAGTAAGGCAGTATTATTTTCTTTTTTCGTTTTTCAGGTGAATAGGAACCATAAAAATAAACCAAAAAGGAAGACTTGAGAATAGGGTTGTTTAGGACTAGTTTTGACTGGAGTTTCACAGAGCTTCTTTATTTTATTCTTGAAAATGTGCTTCGGGTCCTTTCAGGACTTGCAATTTATAATTTATGGGGTTTCAAGCTCTCTCGACGTGCTTAGGGATTTGAATCTTACTGCTTACAGTAGTATAACTTACCTGTGATAACTACAACTAGAACAAAAGACAGTATATCCGGGTAATCAGCAAGAAAATCCACGTTAATAGGGACAACTTGAGAAAAATAATTTTTCATTTGGTAATTGGTCAATGAATCTATGTAATTACTCATCCCTCTGGCAACACTGGCACTACCTAAAGAAAAAATGGATTATACAAGCGTATTAATATTTATTAAATTATTAAAAATTTTCTTTTTTCGTGTTTAAATAATTTTCCAATTAAAAGCGTCGATAATATAATCAAATACTTATAAAATTGAGTTAAATGGCGGTTCGTTCTTAGGTATCTAAAAAGTTGCAAAAAACCGAGAAAAACTTAATTCAGAATTCAATGCAAAATGTCCTCGAATATCCCTCAGAGTATGAGTCAGGGAATGTGTCGAACAATGTTAATATTGAATACAATATTTTAAACAATGTTTCAGTACGTTTTTCACTTTTCAAGAGGTTGCAGCTGTACATATATTTAGAACGTATTATTACTTTTGAAGTTTTAATTGATTGATAAGTTTTTCATTAAATACCTACTTAAAACAATATCTGGTACCATCTATCAAGTATGTGTATATTCAATTATTCTTCTTTTCATTTAACTAATTTTATATTATTTGATAACGCTTAATATTCTTGTAATCAGTACCTACATGAGTTCTATAATACTGATAAATCAGTTTTTTTTTTTAAAATATATTATTTTTTTTGTAATTCCCTAATTGAAATCATTTTAATTAAAATTCTCGCAGCTAATTATTTTATTCTTAAAAACTGTGCTCTTTTTTAGATAATTACGTGCATATTTTATCTATTATCGTTGCTCTAATCAAAATCACAAGTTCAATCACACACAGAACGCGATAAATTTTGATTTAATCTGCTTATGTTCAAACAAGCCTTTGTATTCAAATTTTTTCCAGACTAATAAAAATAACGTGTAAGTATATACTTTACTTACCTATAACATATTCTAAGATTAAATTCCAACCAATTATATACGCTACAAACTCGCCGACAGTAACGTAACTATACACGTAAGCCGATCCAGCTCTGGGCACTCGAGATGCGAATTCAGCGTAACAAAGACCTGTGCGTAATTAAGCAAAGTTTTTGAACATTAATTATCATTCAATTTAAAGTGCTATCATATAAATTAACACTTTTATTTAAATGGGTTAGTGAGTGGAATGAAATATAATACAAATTAAAAAACACTTGTTAATTTAATACGTGGCTAAATTTATTAGGAAATTTAATTTGGTTATAAGCTAGCAATGTATTTTCTAAAATTCAAAAAAATAGAAAAAATAGAGGTAGAGGTATAATATGGGATTGAAATAATGAATGACTGGCTTATCAACTGAATTACATAGAAATGTCTATTGCATATGATGCAATTATGGACTTACAATCTCGGCTAAGTCATAATGAGCAGGAAGTCAGATAAAGTAAAAAAATTAATTCGTGATTACAGTGTTTGAAATCCATACAATTATAATGCTACTGTAAAAAGGAAGGAAAGCCAAACTACAGCATCAAGAAGAGCGCTTTTATTCAAATCTTTTATAAGGAAAACTATGATACTACTTAAAGTCGAAGTAAATAGAAGCCTATTTCGCTGAGGATGTTAGTTTTCTTTTATTGTTTTAACGAAGTACCGTTATTACTATTTAATACGTTTTTGTAATTTTAAAGAAAGAAGTTATTGTTCCTTTGAACTTAATATCTGAAGCAATTAACCGATTAATAAATAAACAAAGGAATACAATTAAACGCGTTTTAAATGAGCATTGAATATCGCCGGGTTAAACAATTTCAAAAAGTTGTAAAAGCAATACATAAATTTCAAAATACCAATATATTTTTTAGGTTGTATGGTGGTATTTTCTAACAGAAAATTTAGCATTCTTAATGAAAATCTGTTCAGATCTTTTTCAGCATTACAATTACACAGCTATAATGAACCTTTGTTTTACAAAAAGATCGAATAACATAAAAGAAAAAAAACAAAACGTATGATTAATTTGAAGCCTTTCGGAGAAACTTCCAAGAGACATTTTTCGTTCCAAATGAAGTACCTATCGAGACACAGCTAATAAGCACCCTGAGTAAACTTAATTGAATCTCAAATAATTCTTGTAAAAGATAATTTCTTAAGTACGACGATAACTAATACTGATTACAATCACCATCATGCTTGTAGATAAATTTGAAACATTGTAATATCTAATTAGAGGACATTTTTATATGGTTGCATTTTTAGCCATTCCTTATCTAACTTCCTATCGAGATGCACTGATACATACAAGTCCATAATTCTATTATTTGCGATGAACTTTCTTACAACTTTCATGTACAATAGATTCCTGAAGTGTCAACGTTAACGTTAAAATACAGGGTGACGGCTTGTGAATTTGGGTTACAATGAAACAGTAAACAAGGTAAAATGTTCACCGAACACAGAAAATGCACTTTTCTTAGCAGGATTTATGTAGAAATTCGAAAAAGATTGTTAAAGGTGTATGTTTGGAGCGCGTCCCTGTACGGGTGCGAAACATGGACGGTTGGCGCAGCGAAACAGAAGAGGTTAGAAGAGTTCAAAATGTGGTGTTACGGGCGAATGATGACGATACCGAGGATAGAGAAGGCTAGAAATGAAGAGGTATTAGAAAGAATAGGAGAAGAGAGGACTCAATGGAAGTCAATGAAAAATAGGCGAGATAGGTTGGTAGGACACCTTCTCAGGCATGAAGGTCTAGTCAGAGACATATTAAAGGCAGAAACAGGAATTAAGAGGGATAGAGGTAGACCTAGGTTAGATTACAGTTCGTAAATAGTTAAGGATGTAGGTTGTTCTAGTTTTAGGGAAATGCGAAGTTTAGCTCAGGATAGGAACCAGTCTTAGGACAACAATCAAGAATCCGTAATTTGGTAAAGGTGTAGAGTTTATTTTTTTAACTACATTTATCTAAAAACTTCATTGTATTTTTAAGTAAAAGATGATGCCATTAATGATGATGATCTTTCCGATATGAATAATCTTTACACTTTCTACATATTTGTACCTTCATCTCGGCACATTAGAATTCAACGTTATTGTATTAGGGAATCAACAAAAACCAAATGAATTTCGTTCCTTTAAAAAATGAGAATAGGCGCATGCTCCGTGCAACCCTATCCACCAGCCGCCACGACAAAAATAATAGTATTAAAATAAGATTTGACAATAAAATATCGTGCTTATTATGAGGGTTAATCTTGATATTTAAGGGTCACCTGTTTTTATTCATTTCATACCAGCAAATGCTGAGGCTATGGCTGCTACAAGAAACGATAGGCAGACGGCAGGTCCGGCTACTGTTTTCGCAACAGAACCGGCTAACACATACACCCCTAAACCTAGAGTACTTCCTACCCCTAATCCCGTCAAATCTACAACACTTAAAACTCTAGCCAATAGACTGCTATCCTGATTCACCAGAGGTGTCTTTTTCCGGGACAGGTACGAAAGAAACTTCATTGCCTTCTGTAAATAAACGACAGAAATGAATACAATTTGAAAAGAGATGTGTATATTTTGTACACTCGGTAGAAGTTACACTTCCATTTACACATTTATTTGCTCGGTATATTAACAATAATTATATATTTCTTTAAACAATTATATATTTCTTTAAACAATGCTTTTCAATACAGTTGACAGTTACTGTTACAGTTGCGCAATTTCCGTCGCGTTACGCACTTCCGTTGCATTCTAAAATTTTACTTTCAACGCACCAAAATAAGTGTAACTTCAAAAATAATTGTTACGCATAATGTTACAAATACAAAGTATTTACAAAGTTGTGTTCAAAAAATACAAAATGATAAGACGCAATTTTTGCAAATTATAATTACAACACTGTTTTAATTTCGTGTAAACCGTTTTTGTGTAGGCTATGCCAAATTTGATTAGCATATCAATTACATATACGGAAAGTACAAAAACCATTACGATTTAATTAAGCTGTTGATCGACTTCTTAACAGTCTTGTGTTTATGGTTTTGAATCATAACTCCTTAATCACTAGAAGTTTTAAAAATTATCAGACAATAAGAAACGTTATGTTATTTCAAATTGCTATTTATAACTGAGAAAAGAAACGCAATACTGATTTTTTTATAAAACTCTAAGTATACTTATTTTATTACTTGCCAATTAATCAATTTATAATTCCCAATATCGTCATAGATCGATGAAATCTCGACTGATTAATGTATTTAATTAATTTCTGTTGAATTGTCTCGACCTTATCAGAAACTTAAAGGCAAAATCTTTGCATATTTCTTTGTTGTCCGATTTATCAAAATGTTTATTTGTTACTTTTTATTTAGAAATTCATATTGTTTTTTGAATTACTGATATGCAAATTTAAAAGGAAAGGAATTAGATTTACAGAAAGCTTACTGCATATTTACATTCATCATACAACGGTTTTTAACAATAAAAAAAGATTAGATAAAATTAATCCATTTATTTTTCGCTTTTTTTTTATTTCTCATATCACTGCTTTACAATGATCATTCCTTTGCTTAGGTATAACAGTAGAACGCTTGCAATTAGAAATGCAGAGAATATTACTAAAAAAATTAAACAGTTATTGAAACTTTTTGAAGATATAATAGATAATCAATTTTTTTGAAATATATATAAATATAACATACTTTGCGATTAGAAATGTGCTTTTAGTCCTTCAGCCTTTTTATGAATTAGTAGTTGAAGTTAGCAAACGAATTACTTTACAAAAGTGCTTTGAAATTTTTAATTCAAAGGGCTTCAAGCTCTTTCAAAGTGCTTAACGATTTGAATGAAATTTCTATTTGTATGATTGGTAAATCAAGGTTCTTAGATTTTAAAATGTAAGGGTTAAAGCAGTTTATGTAAAGGCTTTAGGATTAAGGCTTGCAGCTCCTTTGGCTAAGGCATTGCTCAAATCTGAGGTTACGCAAAGCTATTATCCATATCTACGGTAATTAAGAAAATACAAAGGAAGTATATTAATTAACGTTAAATGACCAACTTCCAAACATTTTTACAGTAAGCATATATACAGGTAAGGCAAAACGATCACCGAACATAGACATTGCGCATTTATTTGTCGGCATTTTTTCTTTTTATATCGCATTAGCGAAAATTTATTGAACGTGTGGAATATCACGTCTGTCTGAAAATATAATCAGCTTCTATAAAAACTGACGTAAACCAATCAAACACAAAATCATTTGAACAAAGCGTAACAAAAGCTTTAAATTGTATTTGTTGCAGTTCTGTTACTTTGTTATTTATATAAGCCATCGTTGATGATTGCATGTAAGAGAATGCCTTATGTTCGATTCACAATTCGCCACTAGTGTATATGTATTTACGTATTCTAGTAATTATCTACTAAAAATTGTAGTTAGTTTACGTTGTGTTAAATGCACAATTAATTACCTGCAACTTTTTATTTTCAGTTAAATTGTTCTTTGAATAACAAAAAACTCAGTCATCTATTTAATTTGAAATTTTTAAAACCAAACTACAAATTTGCTGTTAATAAAGTATTGACTTTATGTTAAAAAAGAATATGATGTCTTAAATCTCCTCCATGAAAGCATTATAAAGACAAAACTTACTGATCAAGTTGTATATCACTTATCATTTTTACGATTACATTTTGTAGATTTAGAATTTTATTACAAGTATTGAGCTCATTGCTGTAATTGATAAATTCCTGGATTAAAAAATTATCATGAGTAAACTAATAAAAAAATATGCTCAAGAAGGTAAATCAAATAAATAGTTTAGTAATACGGTACATTTTCGGAATCAATTTTCAATTTATATTTAAATTGTCAATATCTCCCCTACTTTTATTTATCATAACGTGCGAATAAATGGAACGTAAAAGGGTAAGAAAGTTAAATTAAAAGAAATTGCAACCAAAACGATTTCGAATAAATAAAAATTTTGTTTTAAGGGGTGTAAAAACGTTTTCATTTATATTGGGCTGTTAATTCCACTGACTTAGGATTAAAACCCCAGGGGGTTTTTTATTAAATTGTATGATGGGAATATACACATAATAATTATTTAATTGATTATTATAATATAGGAAATAACGGAAATTCATGTACACAAACAATTTGAACATCAAAAATATTTCACATTTCAGACTGTTGTAAAGGCGCCGTAAGATTTTATGTAAAAGCCTATTTTTAATGTCACTAAAATAAGCATATCCAGTTCCAAAATTTGAGAAAAGAAAATTAGACAGAAATGGATCAAATCAATACAATTTTGAAGGTTTTTTTATATTACGTTGACATTGACTGAATTATTATACGAACTGATAGCAAATAGTATTATCAGCTTAGAAAAAAAAAATTATAGAGAATGTTACTCTCACAATTTAAACAGAGAAAAACTATTTTTATTAAATAAAATTAAATTACAATAAATTCATCACTGACGCTTGAACTCAAAAGCAAAAAAGGGTAGAATAATTTAAGTACATATATGAAAAAAGTCCCTATTGATACTTTTTTTAAATTTAATTTATTTTTGTATGATTTTAAACTGCTTACCATAATTACATAAATTTTTGTATCACGTTTTGGTGGTCACCTCTTTAAAAATTATTAACATTTGTTAAATTGTTTCCGAAAAAGCTCACTAAAGCATTATCAAAACTTTTCACTGCGATTCTGAACAGTCGTACCGGACAAGGCTATACTAAATGTACTTGGGAATATACAACACATTTTATTTATGTGCGACATTCACTGTAATTTGTGATGAAGTAACACCATTTATGTAAAAAGTTTAATTCATTTACTTTCTGCAAAATACCTTTATAAACCGATAAAATTGTTATACCTTTATCAGTACATAGAGTCGATATGTTTATCACTTGGCACATATGAAAGCCTTTTACTTATATGAAATGCCTAGAATTTTTTAAATTAAAATATTCGTAATTACCGCGGTAGAGAGAGTCATCTAGTGAGAATAGATTAAACGAACACACAAACTTTTAAACTGACGAAGGTAACTACTTTGCACTAATTATACTCTGTTGCCAAATCTGATTTGAATACAAGTCGAACTAGTTTATTTTTGAGGTAGATTATTACTTATTAGCTTTTATATTAAATAAATGAATAAATAGAAGCAAGGAATGTATAATAACTATTAATTTTTCCACAACTTGTTATTGATACAAGATCACAACATTTTGAAATAGGTATTTTTGCTTATCGCGGTGAGCGTCGTAAGTAATATCGACAATCCAGCAAGTAACTCTTTTCGATTAGAATAATTGTTGTGGTAAGTTTTATGTTTATCCATAATCATCCAAAAAATTAAATGAAATTTTTGTATTTAGCTTTTCATTCTGCATTTATTGAATTAAAACTAATTGATGTAATTATTAATCGATGCTAGTACAGATATTAATTTCTTACTGAAGAATAATAGCTTTTAAGGTTAGGTGCTGTTGTTGGACGTATTATAATCTTTTTTTAATTTTTAGCCTCATCATGGGCAAAATAATGAAAATAGGTAAAGTCGTACTGGTCTTAAGCGGCCGGTACGCAGGTAGAAAGGCTGTCGTCGTGAAAAACAACGATGATGGAACTTCAGAAAAGCCTTATGGGCATGCTGTAGTTGCTGGTATTGATAGATACCCCAGAAAAGTTCATAAACGAATGGGCAAAGCAAAAATACACAAGCGTTCTAAAATTAAGCCATTTATTAAGGTAAGATAAGTTTTAAGTTATTAATGATGATATCAGTGTCATTAGCTATTGTGCATGTAACAAGGGCTTCTCATCTAAAGGTGCTCAAACATTTTATGTTATAAATATATTGCACATCAATTCAGGTAATCAACTACAATCACCTAATGCCCACACGGTACTCCGCTCTTGACTTAACATCGGACCAAAAAGTCAATATTAAAGATTTTAAAGACCCGATTAAGCGAAAGAAGATCAGGTTCCAAATTCGTGTAAAATTTGAGGACAGGTACAAGCAGGGCAAAAACAAATGGTTCTTCCAAAAGTTGAGGTTCTAGTTTATTGTATTGTAATTTATGACTGTTCATTTTTTATTATAAATATAATTTAATAAATAATGAACCATTTTTATCTTTGCTTTTAAGTATCCACATTTTATTTTTGTATTATAAGTTATCAGATTAAATTCGGTGAAAGTGCAGTCTGTTTTCATTAATATGTAAAATATAATGAAGGAGAAAGAACTAAATGAGAATAATTGTCAGTCCATTTATTAGATATGTCTAACATACATGTATTAGAATGTAATGTCCACAGAAAATTGCACTTTTAATAAATTTCTTTGGCTTATAAATGCTGCTCCTAGTTCCAAGAGGATAACGACAAGATAAGGCCTTACAAAAAGTATCACAAAGGTTACAAGAAAGTTTAAAAATAAAAACATCACAGCATTTGTACTAAAAAATTAAACTATAAAAATTTTGATACACAAAAATCTGTGGACAATTTAAAAATTCGTATTCATTTCATAACGTAAGTTTTCCTTAAATATAAATACTTGCAAATCAAAGATATACATATAAGTAGGTATGTAATGTTCTTTACATTGAAACTTCTTCAAATTTACTGAGACTGAAAACGAAATAAACAATTACTACATTACTGCAAATTAGAGGGAAAAAATATACATGTAATATTAATTTTATGAAAAGCTTTGTTATACCCTTTCAATGCATTTACGTTACAAATGAATACCGATGCTCATATTAATTTTTTGCCTAATGAAGGTAACATATTTCTATAAATAACAAAGAGATTACATTTAGTAAACTAACCTGGCCATACTGCTCTACAAAAAGGTACAAACAATTAAAATACTCTGTATTAAAACACACGAGCTAACAAGTGGTTCTGTAAATGTATACCCTTTAAAAAGATCACAGCTTCTTGCAGTCCATTCCACAACACAATGTGGTGATCAGTGCTACCCATCGTATTTCATTAGAAACATTTTTTTTCTTTTCACTTTTCTAATAACAATCGCTTTTCCTTTGATAATGTTTATAATTGTTAATGAACAAGTTCTATATCTAATCGTAAGAAAATCACAATGTATATAAACAGATGTGATTTGAAGCACTGACCATACCTCTAAGTAAACTTTCCTATACGGAATGTACAAAATTATCAACTACAGAACCTGTTGTTTAAATGAGACATTATTCGCAGACATACAACAATTTTTTAGTAGTATTCGTTGAGGCAATTAGCTGTATGCATATTTAGGAACAGGAATACCTTGAAGAACCGAAATAGATTGAAATGTTTTACTATAATAATTATTATTGTCTACTAAAGTGTAGACATACACAATATTATTTGAACGCGAATTGTGTTTTAAGCAAGAAAGTGTTTGAAATACTTGTAAAAAATTGTTGTGACGTGCATACTTATACTTAAATTAAGGAACATTTCACACTAAGTGATAATAAATTCGCACGAAAGTATTAATTACCCAATAGAAGTTCCAGTTACTAACTTAGGACTTAGTAAAAAAACATTCAATATGCCCAAAGTTAATGTAAGGAAATATTTAAAAATGAGAATATGATCATTGGTGTTTTTCAAATATAAATCTGCGAAAATAAGTTACATTACAATATTACAATATTGTTGTGTTGGTTAGTGTGAGATGTTCTCGGGACTGTTTTAAAGACCGCTTTACTGAAAAATAAAAGCCAACGCAAAAGTTCGTTTAAAGACCAAAGGCAGTGCAATTTTGTGATAACTTACAACCTATTTGTTTAAATACTTTTTCGAAAAATATCCATACTTCAACTTCTCAAAATTTAGTTCAATTTTTTCATTGCAATGACAAAATTCAACAGAATAATATGTATATATAAAACGATCTTTAGAAAACTACTATTTCAACAACAAACTATACAAAGTCTGGCTGAGAGGGCACTAGCGGTAATTCTCGGTCAGGAGACGAATTTGAACTCGGTTGCAACAACTGAAATGCCGAACCTAAGCTTGGCTTGAGCTGGAAACTGCAGGGCTGCGGACCACTGTCCAATGTTAAATCTCGCTTCTCGTTTAAAGATTTCAAATGGACCTTTTCACAACCATCTGGAGGCTCACGAGCTAAGAATCGATTGATATGCGGTGACGTACCTAATTTACCACCTTCGTGGTCAGGACTTGAACCTTGACTTCCACCTTTTTATGAAATTAAAGAAAACAGACATTCTTAAATGAATAATCTAATATTAAACGGTAGTAATATTATACATATAACAAACAGTTTTAGAATCATTAGGCTTTTTTAGAGGTATCACTAAAATATGTATTAACAATTCGTGAATTTAATTTCCATTCTTCTCACGATTACTAATCTTTATGTGAGAATTTATTAGAATAGACATGTATACATGTTTTATTTCCATCCAATAATTTCCCATGTGCTTATTCTGGTGCATAATGTGCATATTCACTCAACTAAATAATCTCTAATAGAAATTCCATTCTAATTTTCGCGGTTCGCCTGTTAAAACGCCTCTAAGGAAGGAGCGATAAGAATATTTTTCAAAAAAAACTTTCTCTTTAATGACAACGAAACTAAATTTTATATTTAAAATGTTAAAAACAAATTAAAATTAGTTTGGAAATCAATAATTGGAATGAACATTGAATATTAAAATTGTATTAAAAAAGGAATAAAGTAATTACAAAAACCTGTGTCTCCAGGTGATGAATCCAAATGACCAGGTATTAAAGGGGAAGCTGACTCTCTAGAAGGAGGGCCTAAAGAAAAAATTTTTATTTTAAAGTTGAGATATTATAGTTTGGGTAAAGAAAAGAGACTTAGGTACATATTGGTACAGTAGTAAATTTCTGGTTATAACTGAATCATAATTGCATTTACATGACTAAAAAGTTAAAAGGTATACCTGAAGAATGGCAACTTCCAGTGAATTCTCCTTTCACAGGCGTCTGTGTGTTTACAGATCTTGTTGTTCTAAAAATTTCAGCCAATGGTGCCCTATGACCCTCAGGAACCACTTGACAAAACTAAAAGTTTAATTTTACTAACCAAAATTCAAAATATGATTTGAAATTTCTAACAACCTTTCCAAAGTCTTCATTTTTATCAAAATAATCTGAACCAGATAAAGAAGTTCTTAAAACCAGTCGTTCTATTTCTTGATTAAGACCCTCAACTGAACTGCGTATTGTAGGTTTTGGTATAGGTTTAAGGGGTATATTGATTGGATTTGCCTTTGAAATAGGTGAAACTAAAAAGGCTAAACGAAAGAATAAGAAAATTTGGTTTTGTTTGATAGAGACTTACATGCACTTGTTTGTGAGCTAGTACTTGGTAAAACAAGTGAATGATCACCTGCCATTGCTAAGTTGCTAGGAGATACCAAATGTTTGCCTGTAGAATCCTTATTATTTCTCTGTAATCTTTGCCTTATAATTACTTTCTCAAGTTTATCCTCACTATTTTCAGCTATAACATGCATTTTTCTGGCATCTAGTAAATCTGCCTCATCAGTCTTGAAACCAATAAGTTGTAATAATTAGTTGGTTTACTTTTTAATTTCAACAGAAAAACTTATCAAAATAATTTTACCTGGGTGGCTTTATCGACTTGCAAAAAGTTATGCTGCCAATATAGCATATCTCTTGGCCACTGTCCTTTTAAATAAATTGTATCTAAAGATGCTGTCCTCCTAATAACGTCGGAGGTTGTAGCATGCTCTAATGATTCTGATTTACCTACACACATATATATATACACAAATTGTAATATAAAATTTATACAGGTAAATATATTTGTAATTCATTGGACTACTGATTAAAGCTACATTACATCAGTTGTCTGTACCACTTATGATTTAATAAATTAGATATTCTAAACAAGTATTATAAGAAAACTGTAAGGAGATATTAGAAATACCCGTTCACATATTTTTATTAAACAAAATGTAAACTTAACATACGTTCAGCACAAGGAAAGAAAAAGTCAAATTATTCCAGTTAATTTAAATTATAAATCATTACAAAAAAGTTACCTCTGTATGAAGCAGAACCAGGACTTCTCTGACCTGATGAACGATCCGGAGAAAAACGATTTTTCCAACTACAAGTAGGTGATAAATTCGGACTGTTTCTTCTTAGGTTGTTAGAATTCTTCAGTAATGAAGACATAGGTACCGTAGCCTTCAAAGGGCCCTGTTTGGAACTCGGTGATGATTTCCGTACCCTCGCCGGGGTACCCTGAGTGTGGCCCGACATCACATCTAAATAATAGTAATTGTAAACATTTTCCTATCCATTTTAAACAGTTTGTGAATTGATATTGTCATCACAGCACATTCTGCCTTTTCATTTTATTTTGTACTTTATTACTCAATACTGCTACGGTTTATTCGATATTTATCGCTTAACATTATTGAAAATTCTGCTCATTGTCAGTCTTTTTGTTCTTCCTTGTCATTCCTTGCTCTTCTTTTGTCTGTGGTGCGCAAGTCAATGAAAACTGATCGTTTGTATGCTTTCAATGGTAACGATCTGCATGTGTAGGCACACGTAAGATCACTTCGGTTTTTGATTTAATTTTTTGGAGTTCTTGTTTATTATTGGCATAAACGTTATAATACAACTTAAAAGGGTTATATTCGACATATACTTTGTATATTTTTTAAAAATGTTGAATACTCTAGAATCGTAATCGACAATGTTGGCTAAATGGACGTGGAAGAAGGGTGGGATAAAAAACCATCAAAACTTATCTATGATTAAAAGCAATTTCCGGCTATTTCACGTAGTGGCGCGAGTGGTACGTATCAAATGAACATAAACTTTTTAACAGTACAATTTTAATGAAAAGTGCGGTCTGTAATGTATTGTATCTCAAAATTATAATTAGGTAATGTTTCGAAAAATTTTGCTACTATCAATTTTGACGAACAAGAATTTATATGTGATAGTAACTTAAATGTTGCGTTGAGCGTTGTTCCTCGAAACGTTCAGAGTTGCGAGAACGGTGGTGTCGTTTTGAGTTAAAATCGGTAGTATGTGTGAAATAAAACTTATTAACACTTTATTTGTACATTATAATAATTTAAATGATCATATGTTTCTTTTATAAAAAAGGAGTGCATGAAGAATACAGAAATGTACCGGCAAAAGTTGCTAGCATGGAGCCAGGTAAATTTTTAAGAAACTTCCATTACTTGGCAAATTTACTTTTTTGAAATTTAAATAACTGATAAAGAATTAACGTAAATAGGTAGTATCCAGTAATTTGTAATACTATTAATATCATGTTATGCAGTTTGTCTTAACTGCATATTGAAAGGTTACTTGTATGTATTACTGAGTAACTAAATTTACCTACAATGATTTATTTTATATAACTCTAAGTATGTATTATTCACTTAGAAATTGCTGATAAAATATTCATTTACTTTTTATTTAGACGTGTTCTCTTTAGATGCCCATAATTTTATATTTCGAAAACTTTATAAAAAATATATGGGACATGACTGATTGAGGTTCTATTTTGGAAGTCTTTGGTATAAAGTACTCTTTAATAATGACTTTTAAATAAAACCACATTATAAGAGATTAAACCAACTTTTATTCTCGTACAACTGTTTGAGAAGTAATACAAAAATAAGTCTAATGACTAGAATATATTACAAGCAACACTTTCAAAGTCAACTTAAAAGGTAGATACAAGCAAATCACAAATTAATATAATTGAAATAGTTGTACTATATAATGTGCTGCAGATGTATAAAAGTACAAAAAATATTAAGTACACAGGCAATACAAAAGACTGAGTTGTTTTTTAAGATGGGAAACTGAATGAAATTAAACAATTACTTTTAAAATAGAATGCACAGAAACTATTAATAGATAATCAAATGAAATCTGAATTATTATGATAAAATATAATTTTAATAAAAAGTACATATGAGATATCCTGGATAAAAGTGTGACAAGAGTTAAGTGCACATATTTGGTGTTATACCAAAAAAATACCATTGCTGTTACAATTTATAAGCTACTTTCTTTTTTAATTTTCTTAATTGGTTTTGGTCGTTAGCTCCAATCAATTTCCCATAAGTATATAACAGACTAAAAATTTTAAAACGTTCTGTACACAGGAAATAATCACATGAAGAGATCTCTCTCTCAAGGTAAGGAATCTTGCTGCTATAAAGTTTACTTTCTATAAGTATCTGTACTTTTTTATACAGTTATTTCCTAAGTCTACTACAATAACATAACCATCTGAAGTAGTTGCAATGCCACTGGGCCTTTTTAATTTGTATTCATGAGAATCTATTATATTATTAACTGATTTGTTATTTAAAGCGAGTACTTGAACATAGTTGCGACCCTTTTGCTCAGATCGACTTGCCAAAATGTAACCCTCTGAATCTACAGCAACCCCTCCATATCTTCCTTTTCCTAATAATTATTTACTAGAGAAATTGATAAATTTAAAATGCAAATAGTCTTACCTTTCCCTTCATCAAAAATAAGTTCCATAAAATCACCTTTGGCGGAAAATACTTGAATTCTTGTATCTGCTACTATTATTTCATTAGAAGGCCCTACTGCGACTGAAGAAAGAAGATTAAATGTTCCTTTTTTCCCTACCTGAAAAAAAAATATTCCTACATATTTAAGAACCTATTTTGCACAAATATTATGTTAATCGCAATGTTTCCAATATGTTTCGATTGTCTGAGAAAACTTTTCAATGATATTTTCAGTTAATTAAAAATTGGAGTACATTCAAAAATTGAAGCTTATATATGCAGGGTGTTTCTGAAGTAAGTAGTAAGCTTTGGAGGGAATCCCATGGTGAGTAAAGCAATGTGGTCAAGGGACAAAAGAATTTGTAAGAATTTGCCTTCCGAAGCCGGCTCTGGACGTGAATTACCAACGTATAGAGAAATTTTGATAACAACTAAGCAACCACATCGATGAAAAATGTAAACAGTGACGGTTGTGGAACGATTAATAAAGTAAATATCAACAGTTTACTATTACGCTGCTACACATAATAATCTTTAGAAGCCCATTGTGACAACAATTAATTAAATAACTACATTGTTCATCCCTCATAGTAGGTATGCAGTACTATTTAAAGGACACCTCGATATGATAATAAGAACATATAATACAAAAGAAATACTCGTATAACACGGATGTTTTAACTGATGGAATGAGGCGTTGCAATGCCGTATTTCCCTGCGAGATCTTGCCAGGGCCGGACCGGACTTTCAAATACGTTTTTCTAGAAAACGGTGGATCTTTGTACCACCAAACATTTACTCAATTTTTTTGTTTTATAGTGCTCTACTACCTCCTACAAGCTTGCTACTTATTTCTGTATATATTTTTTTTGTTTATATACTGCACATTTTTTAACAGAGTTGAACTTACTTGGAAAAGATATTTTCCATCGGAATCGAAAACACAAATGGCACTTAATCCGTTATCGGCCACCAATATGTGGCCGTAGTTTTTATCGTATGTGATATCTATCGGTTCTTGAAAGGCATTGTAACTAAAAGTCTTTATTGTCTGACCAACGGTTGTCATTTCGGTTACAGCTTTCGTTCTCCAATTCACAATAACTAAACCATTATTTGACACAGCTATACCTACAAAATAGCGGTCACTAAATAGTAAAGCTTTTAAAACGTTTAAAGTTTATTTGCGAACCTTAGTTCATATAATTTACCTGTACAACTTCGTCCATTAAGACCATCGTTGGTTATGTGCCGAATAAATTCAAAGTTGGAACTAAGAACTTTTATTCTTGAATTTCCTGTGTCCAAAACGTACACTGTTTGATCTTTGTCATCGATAGCAATCGAAACAGGTTGCATGAATTCATCTTTGCAACTGCCTCTACTTCCGTATATTGACACAGGACTGTTATGTTCCGAAACGTCGAAATACAGAGGATTGTCTTTGATGGGCCTATCCAGAACCATTATTTTTATCCCATATCGGCCGGCTAGTATTGGTTTAAACTGAATCTTATAAGTTCCATCTTCGCAGTCGGTGACCTGTACCGGTAAACTATTTGCAGTGTTTTCCGGTTCTACAGGTAGGACTTCCACCGAGACAGGATCTCCCCCTAGACGTTGGGGGTTGCCGTGGTAATCGACCGAATATAGTACGACAGTACCTGTAATGCCTGAGATCATTTCGTCTTCTACTCGGGCAGTGCAAAGGCTAGGAAAGGTGGTACTAGTTCGTACTTTGCCTAGATCACTCAGACTTTCCTCTATCGTTGTGAGACTATTGTTGTGCGAGAATTCGCAAGTGAGAAACGCATTTTCTCGGGGTTCCCCCAAATTAGAAGCCGCGTCAAGCTTTTCTGTTAAACTTTCGATCCTCTGGGTTATATTACGCACTTCTACTTGATACTGAAGACCTTGGCATTCTTGTTCTACCTACCAGAAATGTTAGAGGTTACTACGAGTTACGAATAATAGTAAAACAGGGTGGCGCCTCATTTGAAATGTTAATTATTTATAAGGTATAACCTTTTAACTGAATAACAAATTTTAATAATTATGTCGCTGAATACGTTCCGAGGTTGATTTCTGCCGAATTCTTATAAAATTGTAATTATTAATTATTGTACCTACTACAGCAAACACCTTTTAGATTCAAGGTGACCAAAAATTTACAAAAACTTCCCATTTTTTTGGTAATAAATGTATACTAATGATTATCACTATCCTGTAATTTCTATTTTTGTATTATAAAAAGATAGAGCTTTATTTGTTTTTGATAATCTCTGAAACTGCAAGTGAAATTTTCAATTTTGTTTTTTCATTAAAAAACCCTATGCTTTTAGGCCACATACTATCATGCTCAAACGTGTAAAAACGGAACAATCATAATAGATTAGGAAAGAAGTGGGGAATGTTTACCAATAGAGGCCACATTTAAATTAGGTAGTAATAAAGGAGACCGCAAAGGTCGATATACCCATATATAAATGCGACTTGGGACGTTATAATTTTTGTATAGTTTTATCAATTCGAGATGGCTTCAAACTTCAGACTATGAAAGATCACTGCAGCGTTGTAATTCTTGTAATATTCAACGAATTGCAGCAAGTTATTTGCATAATTCTGTTAATTTTTTAAATTGTTTATCGTTGTATATTAATTATAACTTTCATGAAGGCCCCATAAGAAACTCGCGAAGGCCGCATGCGGTCTCGGGCCGCAGGTTCCCCCATCTCTGAATCAGGATCTATAATCCCACTTTTATTCTGATTTTGAAAAGAAATTATAATTTTTTTTAAAAATAAATTTTTGTGCAAGTGAAATCACTTGGAAAAAATTCATGATGGGCATTGGAAATTTGAAATTATTAGATGAATTTTCACCATTTATTTATGTTTTTTGTCCGAATCTGTCTTGCCCCTCGTGTCGTGCGTGGAACTTACCGTACCTTGTTTTTCTCCGCCTCAATTAAGGAATGTTGCTCTTCCAAGACTTTACGTTTGTCGGCACAAAGAGATTCAACCGCGGTGACCATTTCTTGTTTTCGTTTATCTAGCATCGCCTGCACTTGGTGAAACGTGCTATTCACCTTTTCTAAACATCTCTCTTTGGATTCGTCGAGTCTCTGTAGCTCCCTGCCGACTCCTTCCTGTGCTTGAGTCAACTACAACGGTCGATTTATTTTTAACTGTAATGATGATTTACATGTCGTTCACACTGTCCACCCTTCAATGTTCAAATTTATCTTTGGCAAAATAATTAAAAGTACAAGTGAAAAACATTGTTGACTACAATTTGGTCTTCTACGTTCGCATATGTACGTGGATGATCTGAAAATTCCTACTAAAGTTCTATCAGAAGTGCGTAACATAAACAGACGCTAACGAAACTGTTTTAAATTGCTACTTATATTTTAATTCCCATGAAGCTATTCCTAGCAGTGGTATTTCGTTGATTAGATCTTAATCAGGGCAAAACTGGGAAGAAGAGATTTTCGCGTTCGAGTTTCTCCTAAATTAATAGCAAAGCTTGGCAAAAATCAATCGTAAATACTGAATTTTCTGAAAGTATAATGTAGATAACTGTCTTCAAAAGGACAAAGAATAATAGTGAAGGACTGTTGAGTTATTGGAATGCATTTAGCACAGAAAAATGTGCTCTTTTATCAGGATAATGTACAGGCTTATGAAGACGTAATTACACTGATTTGACCTCTTCTAACTTTCCCATTTTTTAAAACATAGAAAAATGACAATCGCTGGAAAATAATTTACAGTGGCGATGATGAGGAAATTGAACCAGAAACTGATGCATACAAAATTAAAGAATCAAGTTTCTTCTAGAAGAAATTTTCATATTATCCTCGTATATGCCATTCAGAGACTTCTAAGATTAAAAGTTAAAAATAAAACGACTGCGAAGATTATAGACGTGCTACGATACTCGGGAAGCTCTCATTCTGAGGAAGATGCCTAATTTGATTTTTTGAAAATTTTGAAGCAGGAACTTCTTGTGTATTTAATACATGACATATCATAATTTGAACATTACAAGGGTGGAGATATTTTGCTGTTTTGTATGACGTACCTTCGAGATACACTCATTAGCTTTGTACAACAAAATTTCCGACATCCTTTTGATAGCTATGGAAAATGGTATGATGGTGTGTTCGGCACAACTATTTGACGAATCGCTATGCGAACCACCCATGCACAGGGTGCAAAAGACCGTATCACAAGTTTCACAAAACAGCAGTTCTTGATTAATGTGCACTGAACATTTCGGTATTACTTCACGCCTCTGCCTGGACATCAAGTCGAGAAGTTGATTCACTAGAAAGGAGGGCGGCAGAGCCTGGACACCACCCCTCGGTATAGTTATCAATTCCCTGCATATCGGACAACGAAAAGAGCCGGTATCTCTAGTCTGCGAGGCCGCAATACGTGTTAAACAGTGCAAACAGACAGTATGCGAACATTGTAACAATTTGGGGGTGTGCTCGTTGCCATCGTACATACCTAAAAAAGAAAGAAAAGGTGTCTCTATAACGTCAACTGAAACGACGCAAAATGCCTTTCCTATTTTATAGCGGACACGGTCGCGGGTGCAGGTTTATGTGCTGAAGTGAAATGGGGTTTTTTTGATTTTATTTTAGGATACGGAAAGATATTTACTTCCACCTGTCCACAGGCGATCTGTAACAATATTTCGTCTTTATATTTCGTTAATACTGTACTGTTATTAGCATTTACAAGTAAAATAACAACAAGATGGAAACTATGAGAAAGAAACGTTGTGAAGGGTGGAAGATGAATGAATTAGAATCAACGATTAATGTGTTGGAATGCTTATGAACTACGAACTACATATGATTTAGATTATTTTTTTTAGTACTTTCTACGTACTACTGATATTTTAATAAGCCGCAGAGTTTCTTACTTTTGAACTTCAAATAATTCAGCAATTTATATTTCTGGATAAAATTTGAATAAACAATACACAATTGATTTTTATTCTTTCTATTGCCTTTACGTCTCGTGTTACTGACACCGATATTAATCTTTTGTATTGTTAATTTAATGATAGCAACAAAAGTACGTATATGACAAAGTCTTATTTATTTTATAATCGCAAGCAATGTTATAGAAAATACGATCAAATGATTGTTAGAGCATGATAGTTTTCGTTTTACAGAAGTAAAGCAATTTCTTACACAGACAAGTTCCGCAGGTGAGAAAGCTTTCGTTAAAATCTTCATAATTAATGCTGACTGTTTCGACAAGGGTTGAGCTCATACTTGACATTCTCTCCCCGAGTCTTGTTCTGAAACAAAACAAACATAGATAAAATAACGCTGTTAGTTATACGTATGATATCGTAGAATTGGATCTAAAAATATGCAATTATTTTTATCACAGCAGCTTTGCAAAAACATGTGTTTGTATTTTTATTATATGCAGTTGTAACCACATGTTTTTTTCCCACATATGCTATAAAATTTATGAGCATAAACAGAAGGCTTTATTATGCGATTTGTTGAAAACAAAAAAAACGGCGTTCATATCTTTTGAGCTATTTAAATGTATTTAAATGTTCAGTTTTTCTTTGAGCGATTTAACATTTGAAAATGGCATGTGGTTATACATTTACGTAACATACATATGCATGTCCGTACATACATTAACAATGTAGGTCAGCTAGTATTTGGCTGTTACGCAAACACCACGTGCTCATTCTATTACGTTTCAAAAGAAAACATAGAAACGAAAATGAATTTGATAATTGAAATAAATCAGGTTTTGTTGAATCCCATTGTAAAAATGACGGCGGCTTCCACACACAGATGAACAAGCACTTCCTTGATTACTTCAATTTGCAACGACAAAAATGTAGGACGCAATAAAGACAGAGTGAAATGAAAAAATAACTAAAAACTTAGGCCTAATATAAGATCATATGTAACCCGAAAACAGAGCGTATTTCCGTGCGTAGGGTGTTGATTTGGACATCTAAATAATTTTGTGGGAATCATTGAGGAAAAAATCTTCCAATATGTGCTGTAAACCAAACGGTGTTCCCTGAAAAGGTCGTAGGGGTTCCGCGAGATACGTAAGATAAATTAGTTGAGAGCATTATAACCCATTGCACGAAACAAGTTTGTAGACAAGATTCCTCCAGGAAAATACTCCTCCTTGTTAGGTCAGATAGTAAATAATGGCATGGAAAGTCATATAAAGATGGGCGTAAACCACAATGTTTTCCTGTCCTGAGTTTAATCTATGCAATATTCTCTAATCGTTTTAGTCCTTTCTAGGCCTTTTTATAATATCAGCAAGGTAGAAATTCTAAAGCTGTGTTTTTTAAAGTGTGGGTCGCGACCGCCTGGGGGGTCACGAAGCCTCTTTAAGGAGGTCGCAATTCCTTTAAAATTTAAAGTAACTGCGACCCCCTTAAAGAGACTTTTAAAGTAAAAAATAAAATAAAAGCATTCTAGTTTATGATATTGTATTTATTAAGAAAAGGTTAATTCAAGTTTAGGCAGGACTTAGGTTAACACAAATTAACAATTAAGTACGGGTGACATGAATTATTAATGTGAGAAGGAGCAGGCACACATTCACATTGATGTGATGATTGCGTCAGTTTATTGTTAACCAATTTTTCTCATCGCAAATCCGTTTTTTCCACATAAAATTTCTAAATTTAGTGGCATAGTGAAATGAAAAAAATATCTAAAAAGATAGGCCTAATATAAGATCATAGGTATCCGGAAAAGAGAACTGTTTTTCGTGCGTAGGGTGTCGATTTGTTTATCTAAATAATTTTGTGAGAATAATTCAGAAAAAACCTTCCAATATGTACTGTAAACCAAATGGTGTTCCGTGGAAAGGTCGCAGAGGTTCCGCGAGATATGGCGTTTTTTCCTAATAAAATGACCAAACCATCAATGAAAGACCAACGGTTTATTTTATGATATAGGCGAGGAGGTCTTTTTGACTGAAACATCACTACTACCCTTAAAATGAGAGAGTTACTAATGTTTTACTCTTCCAAACAGATTTTTCAAAAAAATGCGTTATAAGCAACGGCAGATGTGGATAAAACTATAAATGAGCATCTATTGAACCTCAAAAAATCCTTGAAAGAATACTTTCAACAGGATTTACAGGACAGCCACTGAATATAGAATCCATTCGCAAATCAGGTTAAACCATCAATGTTGACTATATCGCAGTATGAGAATTTGATTGATATTATCAGTTAATTCAAATTTGAATGACCTTTGGTTCGAACTTAAGGATTGAATACTCTGCAGTTGTTGAGAAGGTTATTACGGTTCCTACTTCAGTTTGTATCGATTTACGCCTACACTAAGAACCGCTGTTGTAAACGATCAATTTGCAATAGAAAGTGTTCATGGCCTATAGTAAAACCTTGTCGTCTTTAGTAACTCGTCGTTTTTAAATCAAATGTAACATTAAGTACCTCTTCACTCTTCTAAATTTTGCTCGACTGTTTCGAAATACGATAAGGAAGAATCGTTGGAATGAGGACAGGGGTGGCGGTAGGGGTAAGAATGATGAGACAGACGAAATGATGACAGAATGGAGTGATAGATTATCTGTGGAATATTACTTCCCCAGCATTTGCTTAAGTGATCCATGAAACCCAAGAAAAACTTGGACAAGGGAGACGGACCCGGAATTGAACCGGTGCCCTCCCCTATCCTTAGCAATCGTTTTAATCTGGAGGTCATGCGTCTCGGTTATGTATGAAGTAATCAATATCTATGTTGTTTAAAAATGGTTCTTAAACCATAATACGAATTTTCAAAGATTTAATTTATTCAGTAAATTTCTTTACTTTAGTATTGCCTGACTGAGTATTGCCGGTCAGCGAATCAAAGAGTACAAGAAGAGGCTTTTGTTTAATGCCATTGGAAGTAACGCTATTGAAAAACGTATGATGGAATATGCTTTGCATGAATATTAGCCAACCCTCTCTGTATTGTCTTGATATGGGTCGTAAACAATAACTATTCACAGGATGTGTGCAGATGAAGTACAAAAGGAAGTAGTTAAATGCCTTTGATATACGGAAGGCTGGATGTTCTAATGGTAAAAAAGTTTAGCCTTGTTATTTATCGTTTAAATGCAAACGTTTGTATATCATTATAATAAGGTTATCAGTCCTAAGATTGGTTTGGCAAGTCCCTTTACTATTTCCTATCCTGAGCAAATCTTAGCATTTCTCTGTACAGTAATCTAATCTAGGTCTACTTTTTCTACTCTTAACTCCTGTTTCTGCTTCCAATATGTCTCTAATTAGTCCCGTACCATCCTACCAACCTCTCTGGCCTATTTCTTATTGAATTCCATAGGGCCCTATGTTCCCTTACTCTTTCACCTGTACAGCACATTTCTTAAAATTCTTATTTTGTTACATTAATGGGATGCAAACTAACAGAGCAAAAAGCACTTCTGTATACATTTCGAGTTCAAAAACACCATATTTTTCTTTGACGCCTTGCTGCTTCTTATGTTAGAAATAAAATAGCAGCACGCCATATACCAATACCAATAAGCAAGAAATCCGTTACCAGAAATACCTCCAGAGACTTTCGCATGCAGTCAGTATTATAATAGTCTGACTAAAGTATGTTTACAAAGGAATATGTTAGGTATGCATATGTTCGTTCGTGCATAGTCCGCATACTTATGTAAATGAGGAAAATGAAAAGTAAAACTATCTTCAATGACTTCGTAAATTGTGTTTTACATTCAAATTAATAGTCGAAGAACGAGGAACAAACCAACACTACCTGTAGATGAATATGAAATAAATAAGTTGGGAGAGCATTTCAAAACTGCATTATAACCCATTGTACGAAACAAGTTTGTAGACAAGATTCCTCCAGGAAAATACTCCTTGTTAGGTCAGATAGTAAATAATGGCTTGGAAAGTCATAAGGTTAGACGTAAACCACAATTCTTCCCTGTCCTGAGTTTATCTATGCAATATTCTCTAATCGTTTTAGTCCTTTCTAGGCCTTTTTATAATATCAGCAAGGTAGAAGTTGTAACGCAGTGTTTTTGAACGTGTGGGTAGCGACCGCCTGGGGGGTCATGAAGCCTCTTTAAGGAGGTCGCAATTACTTTAAAATTTAAAGTAACTGCGACCCCCTTAAAGAGACTTTTAAAGTAAAAAATAAAATAAAAGCATTCTAGTTCATGATATTGTATTTATTAGGAAAACATTAATTCAAGTTTAGGTAGAACTTAGGTTAACACAAATTAACAATGAACACGTAGGTACACATTCACATTGATGTGATGCTTGCGTCTGTTTCTTGTTAATCAATTTTTCTCATCGCAAATCCGTTTTTCTTACATAGAATTAAATCGTTTTCTAAAATCAGGCGATTTCTCTGTTTGCCTTTTATTTGAACCATCGCGATGCATCGAAAAGAACGTAAACTCAACTACTTGTTTAAGTACGAAGGGGCAAATGAAATCAAATACCGTGTAAACTCTATATAACGACACTTAACGGACTGAACATTTTTCGGCGTTATAAAGAGTGGTCGCTAATGGAGAGAAAAAAAAGATATTATTTTACTATTCTATAATAATATGCATTTACCAATACAGTACACATTTTGCACACGAACATTATTATTCATACATTGCATAAAGCCTATTATCTTCGTCTAATGTTTTTTGCTGCTCCAATATTTTAATTGTATTTTGTTACGTATCTCACTCATATCTTTAGATACTGCTGGATCAATTTAATTATATAGAAAGTATTTGTTTAATAGTTTCGCTGCATCAAGTGCTTGTTTGATGCTTGGTGGAGGGACAGGATCGCCTTCTTCTACAACGTACACAGCTGCAGTTCTTATCTATTTCGGCAACTTAGAAAGTACTGCTTAATGATTTATAATGCCGCATTGTTGTCGTTAAATAGAGTGAGCGTGACGCTATATAGAGTGTAATATTGTATAGAAAACAATGTAAACCAACCAAAGTCAAGCAATTTCGACGTTTTAAGGAGTTTGTCGTTAAATCGAGTGACGTTATAAAGATTTTACACTGTATTTCAAAGCTTCTATGGTTAATTGTAGATATTCATTGTTTTCATTATATAGCCAATCCCGGTACCCAAATTGCAACCGATTTACTTTTAGGATGATTCCTAAACTTCCCTTGCCTGTCGCTCGAATTGATGAGAAAGAAAAGCCTGTTTTAAATGGAATTTTGGATCACAAATAAATTTGGAAAATTCTGACTTGACATGCTGTAAATACATCACAAGTTCAG